AGATGTCCTCATGCAATACCACACCTGCTCCATCTGCACCCTGTTTCATGCTTTTTCTAAATCCACAAGGACACAATGCAGTTCTCTTTGACACTCTTTGTACTTCTCCATCAGCATCCTCAAAGCAAATATAGTATCTGTGGTGCTCTTTCTTGGCATAAAACCATACTGCTGCTCAAAAATAGTCACTTCTTGTCTAAGTCTTGCTTCCAAAACTCCCAAATCTTCATTGTGTGGCTTATCAACATAATTCCCCTTTATTTGCTACAACTCTGTACATCACCAGCACATTTCTCCTCCATTCCTCTGGGATTTTCTCATTATCAAATATGACATTGAATAGTTGAGTCAAATCTCACTCCCCTAGACACTTCAATACTTCCACTGATATGTCATCAAGTCCAAAATTTCTTTTCCTTCACCTTTTTCAAAGCACTCTGAAATTCACCAGTAATCTTCCCCACTTTCTGGTCCTCATTTTCTATGACTTCTACTCTTCTTTCCCTTTCATGCTATTCATTTAATACCTCCTCAAAGTAGTTCTTCCATCTTTCTATCTCATTCTACTCACTTGTTAGAACATTAGCATTTTGATCTTTACCAAGCCTAACCTGTTGCACATCCTTTCCAGCCTGATCCCTATGTCTCACCAAGTCTTTCTCACCCTCTTTAGAGTCCAGCTGTCCTTCTGTCTTGCTAATCAATAGAAGTCCCTTTCTCCCTCCTTAGTGTCCAGACTCCCATTTAACTCATCATATGCCTTCTGCTTTGCCTTTGCTAGCTCCCTCTCTGCCCTATGTTCCATCTCCTTATATTCCTGTATCCTCTCTTCAGTCCTCTCACTGTCAAATCTCTTCATGACTAACCTCAGTGACTCCACTTCCTCAGGCAGCTGAGGCGAGCTGGACTGGAAAACTCAGTCCTCACCTCCTTCTACAGATATTCAGTAGAGAGCATCCTGTGTTCTAGCATCAACGTGTGGCACAGGGGCTGCACAGCTACAGAAAGGAAAGCTCTGCAGAGAGTAGTGAAGGCTGCACAGAAGACTGTTGGTGTCAGCCTCCCCACCATCACAGACATCTACATCTCCAGATGCAGGAAGAAAGCCACCTGAATCATGAAGGACCCCACTCACCCAGCACACACACTTTTTGCCCTGCTCCCCTCAGGCAGAAGGTTGTGGAGCATTAAGTGTAGAACCACTAGACTGAGGAACAGCTTCTACCCTGAAGCTGTTAGACTCATAAATCCCTAACCAGCACGATCACTGTAAGGGGAAAAAAAATCACTGTAATGCCACTTTAAATTGGTGATATGCGACTTATCTGTGCTGCTTATTATCCATGCTGCTGATTATCTCATGCTGCTGTATTCAGTCATACCCATCTGCTTACCATAGACTCATGTTCGGGCTGCTGCTGATATGCCACATTGTTTTACTTTATTAGTGTTTAGCGTATATCTTAGATCTTTTAGTGTACTGTTTGGCGTTCATTTAGCATATAACTTAGTGTATATCTTAGTGTATATCTTAGATTCTTATGTACTGTTTCTGTTTATACTTTACATTTTTGATATTTTTGGGTGTAACTGGGACCCTGAGTAGAAAATTTCATTCCACCTCATGTACCACATGTGATGCGAATGGCAATAAACTTGAATTGAACTTGGACTTGAACTTAAACTCTATCTCTGAATAGCTTTATGCACTTCACTATTCCACCACCAAGATTTTAATAATCTTTTGTTCCATCCAGATGACACAACAAGTACATTCCTACCTCTCTGTCTCTCTCTTTAATCAGTTGTGGAAGTAACCCAGTTATGAGGAAGCTCCTTTTTTTATTACCCAGAGCCTTTAACAGCTCCTCTTAACTTTTCACAGCATTCTTCTTCCCTCAGCTTCCACCATTTTGGTCTTCTCTGATTTTACTCTTTTTCGCTTCTTCACCATCTGATGCTGTCTGGCCACGCTCTCCTCTGCCACAACCTTACAGTCCCCAATCTCCCTCATGTTTCCTCTTCTACACAGAATGTAGTCTACCTTTGTACTTCATCCTCCATTCATATAGATGACTATGTTCCTTCCACGTTTGGAAATAGCCATTTCCATTCTCTTGGCAAAATCCACCATCATCTGTACTTCCTGGTTTCTTTCCTCGACATCTAACCTACCATAACTTCCTCATCTCCACTGTTTCCCTCATCATCAAGTCCATTCAGGTCTGCTCCAGTCACCACTCTCTCCTCCCTGGAAATACTCTCCATCACTTCATCCAGATCCTTCCAAAATGTATCCTCCTCCAAATCACATGCAATCTGTGGAGCATAACCACCGACAACATTCAGCGTCAGACCTTCTACTTCTACCTTTAGACACATTCCCCATCTGATATTGTTTTCACCTCTACGTTCTTTTGAACCTCTTTCCTCAGGGCCAAGCTTACCAACTATAAGTATTTTTTTAAACAAGGTATTTTTATTGATTTTTTCATTTTTAACAACACACAAGAAAAAATTCACAGAACCAAATATAAGTATTTATTTGAACAAACATCATGTTAAAAAAAATCGGAAAACAATGCTATTAATTTCACCTAAACAAGGTTCACGTTAAGTTATATGAAAATTTACGCCATGTTTTTATATTGCACTTAGAAATTAAATATAAATAAATATATTTTAAAAAAGAAATAACTGTAATGCTAAACATTAAAACTCAAATGTTATATTAGTTCAAGCCAAGTTCAAAATCGTTTTCACTTTTCTGATGTTCATACTAGGTGACATTTCTTTAATGAAATGATGATGTTTATTGTAAACATTGCACAAGAAATTTATTTTCTTTAGAGTGGATGATTTATTGATTCCTAAATACAAAGTTTATTATTTTCAAATCTGAATTTTTCTAAATTCAATCTTTTTTTTTTAAATTCAAATAAGCAACAAGTTATTGGATGGCTCTATCTCTGTAGGTCGATCTCAACACAAGGGTTAAAATTTATAAGTTAGGTAATTGTTATTATAATAGAAAATATAATTTATAAGTATGTGAACTTAAATCGCTTTTTGTAGTCATAGCAGAACCACGCTACTCCCAACCTTTATAGTGTCTTACTTATTAGAAGAAATAAAGTTACAAGAGCCTTCTCTCACTATATATCACTAAAATAAAACATATCTAATGGCCCTGTCACACTATAACAATGTTGACAACTTACGCCAACATATTAAAAATTTGCCCAATACGCTGGAATACGCTGCATAAATCAATCAATAAATAAATCAACTGAAAGCCTCTTTTGGACATATACACACTGTATCTGTTCATGTTTAGCATACCAGAAATCCTATGAAATTAGTCAAAAAACAGGTGCTGACAAAAGAACAACTTTAAAATATTTTAGAAATTCACTCAGTTCGCTCCAGACCATTTCCAGAAATACTGTGCAAGCCTAGCTCCTTTAAAAAAATCTGCAGAAACTGAAAGACGTTTTTGCACAAAATGACACATCTTGCACACTTGCACATATGAAAACGGGTATAGTAGTGTTTGTGATTAAGTCAATTTTACGTTCTCACTACGTGACATTGAGAGCTGACCACATGGAATTAAACAAAACAGAGAGCTACAAATGCAAATAAGTGCAGACAGAAGATGGAGAGCAGGCGCTGACCTACACTTTTGCTGGTCTTTTTAGAGTTCCACAGTTAATGCAAAAACAATTGGGTCAACAAACTAGAGTTCTATAATATCTTATTCCATTGCACATATTTTATTCAGAACAATAAATAATATTAAAAAATTATTTCAATTTCACGGACATTGCCGCTCCGGAAATAGATCTGTCAAGAGTCTTCTTTTCTATTTGTGCCACTGGGTATAAAGTGTGAAGAACACAACACAAACCACCAGATATTTTAGCTATAGGTATTAGTACAACAGCAGAAAACAGCCCCAGGCACAGGATGGGTGTTTGAGGCAGACCCGTCCTGGAATTTAGTACAGCACAAAAAAGCAACCACATTTCAGGCAAGACATGAAACAACAGAACTTAAACAAGATAATAAGGTACAATTTTGTCATCTTCTTACATTAAATTAAGTGTTTATTTCATACTATTGCAGACTCAAACACACTTGCATTTATTTCCATAGATCTGAAGATCAGTTTTATTTTTCATACTGAGGAGTTGTTGTTGTACAAAGAAACGTCTAATGGCATTTGTGGAAGTTATAACCAGTTTACAAGATCTGATTTCACAGGATTCGATTGTATTAAGTAAAGCACTGTTATAAATCAGAAAAATGTTGAAAATGTAGACATTTTAACTCAAAATTAGTGGAAAACGATCCTCTTGTGGAGACACAAATGTAATCAAAAGGCTAGGCTTAAACGTAATCAACTGATTAAACCTTATTTTGAGTTAAAATGACTCCAGTGAATAAGCAGGTTGTTCAAGTGCGGTTGTTAATCTTGTGTCCGTCATATTTACAGGAATCAGTGACCATGAAGTGTGACAGTACTTATTAATGAATACTGTCGCAGGGATAAAGGCAGCTGTGATTGTTGAGTCCCATCTGTGGGTCAGCAGTAATTTAAAAATCATCAGAGCATTCTGTATTGACAGGAAAACACAGGCTAACATTCATGGAGGAAAACCAAGCAACCAAGCTCTAAAAGATGATTCAGACCAAGAGACAGACAAATTTGTGCCACTGAACTAATCTGTCTAATCTCGAGTCAGCAGCAACCTGCCAGGTTTATCAAAAGAAAACAGAACAGGCTGTCAACAGATCAGCCGCTCATACATCGCTATTTGTTTCCACTCTCTACCTATATGTGAGGGTTTCACATGCAACCGCTTGCACGGCGGGGAGAAACAAATTCCTTTCCTGCCTTCAAGCCTGCCAGACCCTCTCTACCTGCCGAGCAGAGAGCAGCTGCACACAAGTCTAACAAAGATTCATCAATGAGCCACCACTGCACACCTACATACCTCCATTGGTGCAGCCCAGAAAATCCCAGAACTGCATGTTAGGAATCGATAAACAGAGGTTCCCACCTCTACTAAAATCCCAAATGTCTGCTTGCGTCTATCCCGTCTTTCCACTTCCTAGTTGCACTGTAGTCTGACACATATAGGGGAGGGGAAACACCCTCCCACTGATTGTTCAGAACTGACACACCTGGGGGCTGAGTTTCATCTCCAAACCACCGTGTCCTCCTCGCCTCTAACGATCTCTATCTCCTCACTTTTTCCTATACTACCTTTTTTTTACAGCTGAATTAAGGGAGATATGTGCATCAGCGCAAGTTTTCACTGTGAGCAATAAAGTGTAAAATGTGACAACAGTCATGAAGACAATCCCAGTCCAAATTTTCTATTTAATTTTTGGCTAAATGAAAGATCTTATTGAAATAGTCTGAGAAAGAAGTTTTTCCCAAAACGTCACTTGGTGTAAATAAATAAGCCAAAATACCTACAATATCCTTTTTTTTCCCACCCGAAAAGGAAGAAGCAAGTAAAGAGGGAGGATGGATGCATGCATGGATGCATGGATGGATAAATGTGTTATGTGTTAGGTGAAATTGGCTCTCTGCATTTAACCCATCGCACCTGGGATACACTCAGGTGGAGCAGTGGGCAGCTATTGAAAGCACCCGGGGAGCAATTGGGGATAAGGTAACTTGCTCAGAGACATCAAGAGATGTACAATGACTGTGGATCGAACCTGGGACTTTCAGGTCCCGAGTCAGCTGCCAGCTGCCTCTAAACCATGATTGATTGATTGATTGATTGATTGATGGATGGATCGATGGATGGATGGATTTCATGCATTGTGGCTGAACACTGGCCATCACTTTAACATGACTGTGTGTATTTCTTGTCTAAAAAAAAACAAAACAATAAATGTTCTTAACAGCAGCAAAAAAAAAATAAGGAGTCTCATTTTTGTAAAAAACTGTTAAAAAATACCTGAATGGTTTCAATTATTGGATGCGCAATCAGACAAATATAAACTACCGGTAGTTTAAATAACATTTACAAAGAAAGACACTGTTTTTTCTTTATTGGAAAGGAAGTGGCTTCATGTAAATGTCAGAAAATGACATTTATTAACAGGAAGAAAATATCCTGGACACCCATTTTTTTATTGTTAAAACAGGGAAAAACATGCTGTCAATAGATCTTATTCCTTTCGCAATACACTTTTATGTCCTGTCTTTGTTCATATAAAGAAGGCTGGCATGTGTAGAGATGTAATCATAGCTATAATTAGTCACATACAGCCAGGAAACAAAATAAAGTACAGGAAAAATTTTAAAAAAGATGAGTTCAGAAATATCAGCTTCCCAAATTCTTAAAAGGAATAAAAATATATCAACCACTGTGATGCTGGATCTCACATGCATTACTGTGTTAATCCAAATACAACATAGATTCGCTCTCTTTCGAATAATGCTACATTTTAATGCGTTTATATGATAAATGTGAATTATTATTATTATTAGTCAGGTCAGAGAGCAAACCACTAACTTGAGATCATGAGATCCTTCCTCTCAGTGGATCCTGACAGCTCGTTGCTCAACAACAAACAGATGTTTCTCCTAAATGTGAGAGAGAAGTCCTTCCAGGTTGTGTGGACCTTTGCACCTTTCAGGAACAACACACAGACAGAGGGTGGTTCCGGCTACTGCACCGTTTATATGTTAGGAATACAAATGACTTCGTGATATCAACATGACGAGTATTTTAAACCAGTTCCTGCACCGGGATTGTTCAATAAAACCTACCATCAGCTTTTAGCAACACACCCATTCTTGTAGCGTTGACCCCATTGTCTGTCTGTGTGTTACCCCCCTTCAATGCTAAGCTAGCTCGGCTAACAGTCCGTTCCCCAGCAGGGACCATTACTCACCCGCGTCACCCCTGAACGTCCCACCGCTCCTCCTGCTCTCAGAAGCCGAACACCTTCTCCGGCCAGCAGAATATTACATTTATAGTTGTTAATATGGGAGCCAGCTCGGTGACAGGGTTCCACCCGGTCTGCTTCCGTCCACAACAGCGCCGTGCCCGGTGGTTGGAGTCCACTGTTAACTGAGCCGCTAACGCTGCTGCTGGAGGAGCCCGGGCTTCTCCAGCCAACATGGCTGCAGCCAACAGGAGAGGGACCCACCGGCTGACGGTGTCCACCTCCACGGAGAAATGTGTTCCAGCTCAAACATCATTCGTTATCCACAAAAACCCTCACGAGAAATACATATGTGTCAAAAATTATGTATAAATGTTTTTGTTATAAATGTGTTCCAGGATTTACTTTCCCATAGGGGTGCACGATAAATCGGCCGGTGATAAATCGGCCGGCCGGTGTATCGCCCGGATTTCCTTAATTTTGGGAAATTGGCTGATACTTGCATGAGAAACCGATTTTACAGATTTTTTTTTTTTTTTAACAACAATTGTCTAAACTTCATTTATATTTCATAGCCAGTTAAAACACGATTGTTTCTAGGATAAGAGGTTTCTGGTAGAGCTGTTGCCTCTCAGCGAGAAGGTCCTTGGTTCAAACCCCAGTCCAGGGGCCTTTCTGGGTAGAGTTTGCATGTTCTCTCCGTGCATGCGTGGGTTTTCTCCGGGTACTCCGGTTTCCTCCCACAGACCAAAAACATGCATGTTAGGCTGATTGGTAACTCTAAATTGTCCCTAGGTGTGAGTGAGAGAGTGAATGGTTGTTTGTCTCGTTTGTCTCTATGTGGCCCTGTGATGGACTTGCGACCCGTCCAGGGTGTACCCCGCCCCTCGCACAGTGACTGCTGGACATGGGCACCAGCGACCCCCGTGACCCAAAATGGAATAAACGGGTAAAGATAATGGATGGATGGATGGATGTTTCTAGGATATTGTTCATGGGTATGTTTTTCAATAAAATATGGAAAATTGCAGGTGTATTGTGACCTTATAACACCTGACAGTGTCTCATAAAACAAAATCAGTATCGGCCACAATCGGAATCGGCAGGTCAGACTTTTTAGAAATCGGTGATCGGCCAGAAAACTGCAATCGGTGCACCCCTACTTTCCAATTTTTATAAGTGGATCAAGATACTGATGATGTGGAAATTGCTTTTTTTCACAAACATGTTGAATAACATGATGCATTACGACAATATAATTATTTATTTTTTAATTATATATTACATTAGTGAGGGTGAAGTTTGGAAAGCCCTGAAAAGAATGAAGAAGGGGAAGGCCGCAGGACCTGACCTACCAGTGGAGGTTTGGAAATGTCTAGGAGAGATGGCAGTGTTTGACTCAACTATTCAATGGCATATACCTGGATTATTGAGCATGGACTTTGTTGTATTCAATTGCATATTTGAGGGTGAGAAAATGCCTGAAGACTAGAGAAGAAGTGTGCTGGTGCCCATTTTTAAGAACAAGCTATGTACAGAGTTACATGGGAATTGAGTTGATGAGTCATGAAGATCTGGGAAAGAGTTGTGGAAGCTGGCTCAGTTCTGGGAGTGGACCTGCAGTCTCTGACAGAGGTGTCTGAGCAGAGGTTGCTGAGGAAACTGCTGCAGACTCTGAACAACACATAACACCCCCTGCATGCCACACTGGACTCTAATCGCAGCACCTTCATTTGTAGACTGAGACCACCAAGGTGCTCCACAGAACACCACAGGAAGTCCTTCCTCCCTGAGGCTATCAAACGTTTCAACTCCTCTCCCTTTCTACACATAGGACAATAAAATTAATCCTGTACTACAATAAACACTTTAATGATTCTGTCCAGACCTGACCTGTTTTAGACCTTACTTGCTGGTATTTTTATATTCTCTTTTATTTTTATATCTTGTGTGATTCCTTGTGTATGTTCCTTTTTACTGAAACTCTGGCACAACAATTTCCTGCAGGATATTATCTTAAGCTATAGACTTAGATGAGAGGTGACTATTTGTGAACAGCAGTATGGTTTCATGCCAAGAAAGAGCACCACAGATGCCATCTTTGCTTTGAGGATGCTGATGGAGAAGTACAGAGAGGGTCAGAAAGAACTCCATTGTGTCTTTGTGGATTTAGAAAAAACATATGACAGGGTCCCAAGGGAGGAGGTGTGATATTGCATGAGGAAATTGAGAGTGACAGAGAAGTATGTTAGACTGGTACAGGACATGTATGAGGACAGTAGGACAGTGGTGAAATGTGTGGTAGGAGTGACAGATAGCATCAAGGTGGAGGTGGGACTGTATCAAGGATCGACTCTGAACCCCTTCTTGTTGCTCTGGTGATGGACCAAACAGATGAGTTCAGGCAGGAATTCCCACTAACTATGATGTTGATGACATTATGATCTGTAGTTGGAGCAGGGAACAGGTGGAAGAGAACTTGGAGAGGTGGAGGTATGCACTTGAAAGAAGAGAAATGAAAGTTAGCCGTAGTAAGACAGAGTACATGTGTGTGAATGAGAGGGAGGCCGGTGGAACAGTGAGGCTACAAGGAGCAGAGGTCACAAAGGTGCAGGACCAAGTATCGACCCTCCAGGAAAATGGGGAATGTGGTAAAGAGGTGAAAAAGAGAGTCCAGGCAGGGTGGAAAAAAAATCAATTTGCAACAAAAGGGTGTCAGCAAAGGTCAAATTAAAAGTTTACAAGGCAGTTTTGAGACCAGCTATGTTGTTTGGTCTGGAGACAGTGGCAATGACACAAAGTCAGGAGAAAGGACAGGAAGTGGTAGAAATGAAGATGTTGAGGTTCTCCTTAGGAGTGACAAGGATGGATAAGATTAGGAATGAGGTCATCAGAGGTACAGCACAGGTTAAAGTTAGAGAGCCCAGAATGAGATGGTTTGGGCATGTCCAGAGGATGGACAGTGGGTATATTGGTAGGAAGATGTTAGAAATGCATCTGCCAGGAAAAAGATAAAGAGGAGATATATGGATGCAGTTAGAGAGGACATGGAGGTAGTTGGAGTGAGGACAGAGGATGCAGAGGACAGAATGAGGTGGAGGAGGACCTACTGTGGCGACACCTGAAGAGAGAAAAGCAGAAAAGAAGATTTTGCCCATTCTCCATGTGGATACGGAATGTGTGCAAAACATTTCATGTGACACACATTTAAGAATGTAAAATCATCATATGACACATAGAATACAATTTGTGTCTTCACATATGAAAACATGGTAATTTATCATGTAAAAGGCTTGTTTTCTGCATGTTTCCCATCCATCCATCCATTATCTTTCACCTGCTTCTTCCGTTTGGGATCACAGGGGTCACTGGTGCCCATGTCCAGCAGTCACTGTGTGAGAGGCGGGGGACACCTTGGACAGGTCTCCAGTCCATCACTGGGACAACTTTAGAATGACCATATTTATATTTCCATCCATCCAATCCATCTATCCATTATCTTTTACCCGCTTCTTCCATTTTGGGTCACGGGGTTCACCAGTGCCCATGTCCAGCAATTACTGTGCGAGGGGGTGGGGTACACCCTGGACGGGTCGCAAGTCCATCACAGGGCCACATAGAGACAAACAACCATTCACTCTCTCACTCAAAACTAGGGACAACTTAGAGTTACCAACCAGCCTAACATGCATGTTTTTGGTCTGTGGGAGGAAACCGGAGCACCCGGAGAAAACCCACGCATGCACGAAGAGAACATGCAAACAGGCCCCCAGACCGGGATTTGAACCAGGGACCTGCTCGCTGAGAGGCAGCGGCTCTACCAGTTGAGTCACCGTGCTGCTATTTATTTTTCCATATTAGACAATTAAAAAAGCACTGAGCCTGCAGACCACAGTTTATTTAGTTTTACTATGTGTAGTTATATGTGAATGTGTTTGACTAGAGTCACATTATTACATTAATTTAAAGTTTGCTTCTAAAAACCTTGTTTTTGGTACCTGTCTTAGTTTGACTACTTTTTATTTTACGGTTCCAATTATTTAAACACAATGCTGACATTTTCTATATTTTTCTTATTTTTACATGCTTTTTTTTCACATGCCTGGGATGAGTTTTGATATATTTAAAAGTTTAAACAGTTTTAAATACAAACAATATGAGTGTGTCAAAAGGATAATATGAGAAATAGAGGAAATGTGAACTCTTTTGGAACAAATGATTGCAGATTACATTTGATGCAGCACTCTGGGAAAAAATACTTTAAACAGCGAGAATACTGCTAGTAATTTTTCCCTGGCAAATTAATCCAGCTAGATTTTGCAAAAGATTTGGGGCAGCAAACAACAGAAATGGTTAAGTTCTTCCATCTAGTGGTTAATTTGTAGATCTGTCCGTCCGTCCAGCACATTTCTTCCAACTTAATTTCTTTTTAGGTCTGAACTTTACAAATTAGTAACAGAAATTGTGAGCTCAAACTCCAATTTTGTCATTTTAAGTTTGATCACTTTGAATATTTAAGCTAAAAACAACCAGTGATAACTTACCTTCAGTGTATGGCTCTGTGAATCTGATGTAAATAAAGAAATAAGAACAAACTTTATCTCAACTCTATAAAGGAGACTTTATTAAAACATGCCATACACAATACATGGTGGTTACCACAAAAGATAGTTACATAATGTACTTCAAAATTAACTGCATCTGAAGCATTTTGTAAAATGCGAAGGTTGCCTGCAGCACATTCCTTATAAACATGCAACATTTACTCTACTAGTAATAATACATCTGTACATCTACAACTATATTTATGTTTACTTAATAAAAAATATGGAAAAAGTACAGCTGAAACCTATAAGTTCAGTGACAGAGGGGATGACAGGAAAAACAGCAGAAAAAAGAAGAAAGTTGAATCAAGGACAGAAAACACCTGTGGCAGTTAGAAAAATAGAGATAAAAAAATAAAGTGACTAAAAGTGAAACTGGTAAAGAAGCAATGATGGAGGACAGAGGCAGGAAGATGAGGTATTGTCTGAACGAAGTGCATGAGTCTGATGTCTGCTCCTCAGCATGCCATTTCAGTGGACTTTGACACACTCTGCTTGACAGTGGAAACATTCTCCGTGGAAACATCAGTGTGTGTGTGTCCACGCTTGTCAGTGCCGCCGTGCGAGTGTGTCCGGCCTCGCTGCAGTTCATCGGTGTGTGCACGACTCCGAGGGCCATCGTGTGATGCAGTGCTGGAGCTGGAGCCTGTCCGTGAGCGAAGTCTGGTCATACTGGCACCGGACACTGAAAAAGAACACACATTTTTAATAATGATCAATGTTTTCTTAAATTCATGATGTTCATTATTGTAGACATATTGTACACCGCATCTGAGCTTAAAAGTTCTTTATTGTTAAAAAAAAACAGTGCTTTAGCATTTTTTTTAGTTAATGCTAGTTGAAGAAAGACAAAAAAAAAAGAGTTGAGGTGTAAATTAAAAAAAATTCACAGAAAGATAAAATTTGAGAAATAGCTTTTTTCTGCAAAAATGCAGCTGTGTGAATGCTGAGCAATGAAAGATTCTGCTGAAGTTTGCTGAGTAAGCTGTGGCTGAGTTGTTAAAACTAAAAGAAGCAGAACACCATCTAAAAGCCAAAAATAGCAAAACACTAGCTTGAAACTAAAATAGCAAAAATGTAAAATGCAATATTTTAATCTGCAAAAGAGTAACTAAAAGCTAAAAATAGCACAAACCTGGCCTAAAAGCTAAAATGGCAGCTAGTAAAATGTAAAATGCAGTATTTTAATCTGCAAAAGAGTAAAAGTTAAAAAAACAGCACAAATCTGGCCTAAAAGACAAAATATCGAAACAACTGCCAAAACTAAAAGTACCAAGATGGCTGCTAGAAGCTAAAGGTAACAAAGGCTAGCTAATGTCTAAAAGTAGTTAAATGCTATCTAAACCCAGCAACCTGAAAACTACAAAAACCACAAATCTAAGTAAAAAAAACCAAACAAACAAACAAACACAAAGAATAGTTAAAAGTAGCAAAAGGCTAGCAAGCACTTCAAAGTAACAAAAGGCTAACTTAAAGTAGCAGATCAGAAACTAGATGCTAAAAGTAGAAAACTGTAGTGAAAAGCATAAAGATCAAGCTCATTGTTTTTCTATGAGGAAAATATTTTTAAAATAAATGTTAAATGATTAAAAAAGTATAGATGTTGCAAAAAGAAAAACTCATAACACATAGTACGTCCTGAATGAGCTGAATGTTTTGGTATGTGAATGGCCAAAATAGCACAAAGTATGCAGAAGGATAGTTCGATTGCTAAAAACGTATAAAAACAAAAACAAACTGGCAAACAGTTGTGTTAATGCAGAATCAGCGATATATATAGACAGAATAAAGATATTAAAACATTGTTGTAACACAAATTTAATTTGACTTGTTTACGCACAGTGTCCCATTCCTTGGATAAAATATTTGAGGGCTTCGATCACTTTCGCTGGCTGTGGAGAGACAGATAAATCCTGAAGAATCAGTTTCTGAGTAGTTAGAATACTATATTTTCTGCTACGCTAATCTTACCTGATCCACTTGAGGAAGTCCTCCACAGTCCGCCATCTAGAAACAAAACGTAAATAATCACCAATGTTGTGTTTGTAGTAATACTACGAATATGCATTGTGTGGTATTCAGCTATAATTTAAAATCAGCCTGCCATTGGCTACCTTGAGAAACGTGGTCTTTGTGGGGTTGAGTTTAGAGTTGCATTCAACCACAGCTTCCACAGTTGGAGCATTATCTCCCACAACCAAGAGAGTTGAGCACCTACAGCAAAAAGCAACAAGGATCTGATTCAGGCAGAGGGACTGAACTGTTTACAAGGCCTGCTGCAAACGGTGTAGAGCTTCTTTAAAGGTAACAGTGTTTACTCACGTGAGGGTCCTAACGTTGGTGCTTCCACCAGGAGCAGGCCTCTCGATCTCCAGAGCGGTGCGATTGTTGTAGGAGCGAAAGAACTGACTCACGTTGGACTGATTCATTGTTGCAGTGATGTGGTGACGGTAGGTGGCCACAAGCTCATGGTTCATCTGGAGCTCATCCTATTAGACCCAGAAACAGCATTTTCAACACTGTTAAATTTCACAATAGGAAAAACCATCCAGTACTTCTCCTGATTCATTACCTTTCCAAACAAGTGTGTGAGAATTTTGTCTGGGAGAGTGTGGGTCCAATCAGTAATCTGTAACACAAACAGTTGCAACAGCTTAAAATCATTCAGATATCACTGTTTAATATGGACGTTTCAGGATCTCCGTGAGGACCAGCAAAGACTCAAGGCAGACATAAATCAGTAAAGTTCTGCCTGTCTCCAGAACAAATGTTGTTTATCTGAATTCAGCTCCCCAGCTTGTCTTGACAGGCCTCCTTATCTCAATTAGCCTGGAGGCCTTGTAAATCTCGACGCTCTGCCCTCTCCCCTTTCCACCGAGAAAGTCTGCGGACCTATCAGAGGGACCTGCCTGAGTAAACATTGTGTCATCATTTCAGAACTCTTGGATTCTCTCTGGTGCTGTCCTAGGTCGACCTCTGCACAAGAGTGTTTACGGCTCTCACCAGAGTGAACTGACTGATTGTGCCATTCTTATCAGAACTCCCAAAGTGCCTCTGGGGTGTCCTTGGACACGCTCACCACCCTTGTCGTCTCCCCTCCCCTGTGGAATGTCTACGTCACTTTGTGCCTATGCGCGGGGTGTTTTTTCAATTTCAGGCTATCTTTCCTCCGCCAAGGAATGAATCTGTTAGGATTTTTTTTTGCCTCCAAATCCTATAAACGTTGTCACTTTCATTACTTTTTTGTCCGTCCAAACATGTCTCGTTTGTAAATGAGTCTTCGAGGCTCAGTGTGATTTATCTGTATAAATAAAGGTTGAATGAATGAATAATTTATTATTGTCTGTTTTCAAATAAGGCAGCACAGTGGTGCAGTTGGTAGAGCTGCCGCCTGTCAGCGAGAAGGTCGCCGGATCAAATCCTGGTCGAGAGGCCTTTCTGGGTGGAGTTTGCATGTTCTCTCCGTGCATGCGTAGGTTTTCTCCGGGTTCTCCGGTTTCCACCCACAGACTGAAAACATGCATGTTGGGCTGATGGGTAACTCTGTTGTCCCTAGGTGTGAGTGAGAGACTGAATGGTTGTTTGTCTTGTTTGTCTCTATGTGTCCCTGTGATGGACTGAAGACCTGTCCAGGGTGTCCCCTATCTCTCGCACAGTGATTGCTGGACATGGGCACCAGTGACCCCACAAAAAAGGAAGATGCAGATAAAGATAACGGATGGATGGTTTTCAAATAACCTAAAAAGTTTAAGCAGTGGTAGAACTTAACTAACATAACAGGAGGTCGTATTCCATAAAGAGGTCTTATCATGCTTTATTTATTCCTTTTTTAAATTTACTGTTGCTATTATTGGTGTGTATAAAAATCTGTGTGTACAAAGCTAAAGTCCACCCAGTAAGGAGTAAGACACAACAATGCCACTGAAGTGACTATGTTTGCAGTTTTGGCTTTAATTCAATAACAAATTATCCTATGAAACGTATACATAATGGCAGTTTTGTGGCAAATATTTGAACAATAAATGATCTTTTGTGTTTCACTTTTTAATTTTTCATTATTCAGCTGGTCAATCAGTTGAGTGTGGCAGACTATTACAAGGAACATAAAGAAAAACACTTCCTAATCGTTAAAAGTGTAAAATTCAACTACCTTTACATGTTTTAAATGTCAAAATGAAGCTTTTATTTAACTTAATGAGGTTTTAACATGTTAAAGCATCAGTCCTACATGTTGACATGAACATAAGTCAGACTGTGACCTACATACATGCACTGCGTACCTTGCTTGCAACAGTATCCATGAGGCTTTCAGCATTTGGGTTAATGTTGAACAGAACCAACCCGTCCACCAAATCAGGGTGATCCAACTGTACGAACAGAGAATTTAAAAAAGTTGTTTACATGTATAGCTTTACTGTCTCAAAATTGTGTTATCTATTTCTGGACTAAGACTGTGTTCTGTTGGGTCACAGCTGCATACTTCCTATAAATAAACCTTCATGTAAATAATCTGACTGTTAAAACCTACAGGTTATTTGGCTGAACTCTAATGAAATTTCCAAGTGTCAAGTTGTGTATTTTGTACCCACAAGAAAAAAAACCCTAAGGTCTAGCAAATAGTTATCTAGTTTGAAATCCTAATTTCTTTTGGAAACATATAGACAGTGACACCATATAAACACCTGGAAGTCCCTTTAACGTAGTGACCATGTTCCTTAGAGGAAAAAGCAACCACGTTATTAAACAGCTTAAAACTGTGTATAGTTTTCCACAAAACACTAGTTTGTCTTTTAGAGCTACCTCAGCTTGAAATAAAAATATCAAATTTAAAAGACTTTTGAAACAAGTCTTTAAATAAAAAAAAAAGGTCTGTCAACAAAATGTAAAAAGCTTTTTCAGACTACATGTTTATTTGTGCACATTACAAGTGAAGTTTTGCTCTTTATATCCAAACTAAAACAGTTTTGTTGGACAAGATGAGAGGTCTGCAGCGACGTCTGGCCCAAGAATGTACAGTAAGGTGAGCTGAACTCTGTCTCACTAATGTGGGAGTTCTGCTCTGCAGCTCCTGCACCCACAGTCAGACGCTAATCAGCTTCATCTGTGGATCATCGACTTGAGGAGCATGAGGAGCATAAAAGGCGTCAGAAGACGTTCAGCCAGCGCTGGAGCATTACCTACCTACACACATATATATATA